GGGCCTCCTTTCAGCATCCCATCCTGGGTTGAAAAACAAGTACTCACAAGAGATGAGTGCCAACACATAAGCAGCGAAGACAGGCTTCATCTGAAATGATTCTTCTGTACTTATGATTGCAAGTTACACACACACACACACACACACACACACACACATGACCCAGTAAACATTTACCCTACTAATTTAATTGAATTGCTAAGTATTTGGAATAAATATATAGATAAACGATTGAGTCCTTTTGGATCCCCATGAGCTAAGATCATGCTGGATTCAATAGTCAGCAGCCCAAGCTGTGCTCAGGGTATTTGAAAAGCTGAGATTAAAAGCTGGGAGAGAATTTTATGTCTGATTTATTCATTCAGTAAATAATTATGGACCTCTACTCTGCCAGGCATCTTACTAGTTGCTGGGGACATAGCTGTAAATTTGCACTATTTCATTTAATGATGAGAGACAGATGAGTAGTAAAATAATAAACACGGTAATATAGTGCATTATACAATGTGTTAGAAGGCATAGGGTCAACCATGGAAAGGGGGTAGAGAATATGAGTGAGGGGGAGTTAGAAACATGGCTCACAGGGCTTTTTCTAAAGTACTGATGGGGTCATCATGGGAAAAATCAGAATTTTGTCAGTGATTTCCACACTTATGATAAGGCTTAGTATTATTTATATTTCAGATTATATGTAGAAGTGGCAGTGGCAGACATTTAGAACTCCTAATCCAGCCAATGTGGGGCAGGGACATTGAGTGCTCCAACCTCAGCCTGGGCCCCACACGGTCACCAATACTAGAACCTCTTCCTTCTCATTCTGATCATTGGTGCCTGGCTTCTTTCTGTACCAAGCCATTCCCCTCCACATGGGCCTGGTGAAGATGCGCTGGTTCTGAACACCTGTTCTGATGACTTCAGAGATTCCCATTGACCTTCCTGATGTCCCAGTTCTTACAGCGGGGATTCTGCCTTGATTACTCTGATTCAGCTCTGAGCCTGGTCTCCTGTTTGCATTTACAGTAGCCTGCAGCCAGGGTGGTATGTAGATCTTGAGAATGCCCAACCCCAAATCTAGAAGACACCATTGAGTCTGCCCTTTGGGATCCACAGTCTGAACCTCCAGCTGACTTCCTGGGACATCTCCTGATTGTTATATCAGTTAGGACAAATCTCTGTTCCCAGGGTCCTCCAGCTTCCAGAACAGAACTTGCCACAGTCTTAGAGACTAATCTGTTCCTCACTGTACCATGCAGCTGGTCTGGGCCCTGTCTAACTTTGAACCCTGACTGCTTTAGCACCACCACCACTGCCCAAGACACTGCCTGGGAATAACCACCCCTTTCAAATGCACATCTATACAGCCATCCTTTCCTGCAGATTTCTTTTCTTTCTTTTTCAGAGCTTTATGAGATAATTTATATCCAATGATTTTCTGGTAAATTTAGAGTTATGCACATATCACCATATTCCAGTGTGAGAACATTTCCATCACTCTCAAAAGATCTTACATCACCCCTGCCCCAGGCAACCACTGCTAACCTTTCTGTCTGTGAAGATTTACCTCTTCTGGACATTTTATGTGTATAAAACCATACAATATGTGGTCTTTTGTATTTGGCCTCTTTCACTAAGCATACTGCTTTCCTATTGCAAAGATAGGCTGTTTTATTGATCCCTTCACCTGTTGATGGACATTTGGATTGTTTCTAGTTCTGAGTAATGCTGCTGTGTGGACCTTCATGGACAAGTCTTTGCATGGACACATTTCCATTTCTTCACAGGTTTTTTTAAAATTAATTAATTTTTTGGTACATTTAAGGTATACAATGTAATGACATTCATCACTGGAAATTTGCACCTTTGCGTAATCCATTCTAATAGTCCCATTCTCCTGCCCTCCCTTCAACCCCTTTCTGATGAGCAAATCATCTTCTAAGCGGAAATGGTGATGCTGTAAGGAAGGAGAAATGGTAGCTGAAAGGGTAGAACGAGAACATAGCAATGAATTAATCTCACCAGGGGTAAAATAGTGGAGGTGAACACAACTGACCCCACCGAGATGGTTTGCTCCCGGTTTTTAACAATTGATTCTATCAGTGCACTTTAGACAAACATAATGACCACGTCTATCCCAAGCAATTTGTACCCGTACATAATATGTCTGGATTCTTCTTTTTTTTCCCCAATCCCCTTTACTTCCTTCAACCCTTCTTCCTTGCTCCCAGTCTGGATGACTAAATAGATAAATAAATAAAGTGACCCCCAGGGGACTATAGTCCCATGCATCATTGGTCTTATTTGATGAAAAAAGTCAATCAGTTGAGACATTTTCAAATATGTGGATTCTCAGTATGTGTGGAATGCAGGTCTGGTACCTCTTTCTCCCCTGGCTATCCCTACCCTTCCATCTACCAGATCTATCTCTTCTGTCTCACAGATTCCCTCCGCTCTACTGCCGCTACCCCATTCCAGGCCATGGTTCTATCATCTGTGGGCCACTGGCCTCCTTGTTCGACCACCTCTCCTGCATCATTCTCTGCACACCTCCACTAATTTCCTTTAGTGTAGATCCAGTCTGTCCCTCCACTGATCCAGATGATCAAGATTGCCAAGTCCCCAGCTTGTGTCTTCAGCTTCCTTTCTTGCCAGTAACTGCCCCTTTCCTCCTCCCAACTCCTACTGTCTCAGCCTTTCTGAATTAATTTGTCTCCAGAATGTCCTGCCTTTTCTTCCAGGCTTTTGGGCCTGCCACTGCCTCTGCCAGTGCTCTTCCACCCACCTGACTCCTGCTTACCTTGAGGTCTCACCCAAGACATCACTTCTTTCTTGGAGACGTCTAAGGCCCACATAGGGTGGGAGACAGGAGCTCCTCCTCTGGGGACCCACAGTTGCTTCTCACTTCAGTCAGAACATGCATCATGTGGTGTGACGTACTTGCCAGGCTACATGCTCCTCTTCGCTAGACCAGGAGTTTCCTCAAGACCAAAGCAATGCCTTCTTCCCTAGTGCCCATGGCACCTAGCATGGGGCCTGGTATGGTATTTGTTTATTGAATAAAAGCCACCAAGTGTCACACAAGAAGACACGTTATAACCATAAAAACAAAACGCAGAAGCAGTGACACTGAGCAGGCTCCGGCACTGGCTCCACCAGTCAAGAGCTTGGACACCCGATGCAACCTTTCTTCATCTGCACAGAGCTGTTTTTCAACCCCCAGTGCCTGGTGCACATTAAGCATGCATTCTACCCTGCCAGTCCCAAGAGCTGTTTATCTTGAAGGTTGTTTGTACAAAGCAGTAGGTGAATGAAGAGTGTGGATTTTTAAAATTACAAGACCTTTGCCGTGTTGAGTTACAACAATTTCATGATTAGAAAAAAATTATAACAATAGTTCCTTGCATTACCATCCTATTTAGAATCTTCAGAGAACCTTGATGTCCATTAACTCATCAGCCCTTGGTAATAACATGGGGGAAATAGGAAAAGGCACCTTCATTTATAATTAGTGAGACTATGGCCAGAGGTTCATGGTGCACGCAAGGTCACACAGCTGCTCCACAAGGCTCAGGGCAAGCGCGTCAGAGCTTCTGTTCCTACTTGGGTTCTGCTTTTTGTCGTGACAGACTTCTTCCAAGGGTTTCAGCTCGGGCATGTTCTGTCTTCCACATCCCCCAAACATCGCACAAAAACCCCATTCCCTAGGCAGCCACACACCCTCAACTTCGCAGAAAGTTCCACCCAAGCAAATACTAGCATCCAGGAAGACGCAAAAGAACACAGCCCAAACCCGTCCATGTGCACCAAGGTAGCCGGGCAGAGCACAGCACTTGGTCCCATTTAAAACTAAACCTCTCAACTCAGGAGCCGATCAGGTCTGCAAATCACCTGAACTTCTGCACTGAGATAATAAAAAATATCCTTTGTTATCTTCTAAAGACAGACTGTAGATGTGCTACATGTTAATTTATTGTCAACGTATTCCATGTTTTATATAATCCCCTCTAGTCAAGGTAGACTTAATTCCATTTTCATTTTGTGTACTTCCTTTCAAGGCTCGGTAATTTCTTTTCTATTTTTGTCCATTCCACTTTCACTTCCTGTCAATTTTTATATCAAAACCTGCTTCAGTTCCATTTGGCAAGGTGCAGTAATAAAAATATTCCTCATGCTTGAATGTTTAAATCTGCCATGCATTTAAAATGGTTCTCAGTTTGTGCCAATGGCATAACTTCAGCTTTTTACCTGGCACGGCTCCCAGACTTGCAGAAGGCAGGAGCTCCATTTCTATAATGGTTATTCATCACTGTCTGATTTTATTTTATTTTTCCTATTCATTGACCATGCATTGAGCACCTACTATGTATTAGATACTGTGTTTGCAGTGGGAATACAACTCACACAGGAGGTGAAACAAGACAGAACTGACTAGAAGATGGTACATGATGGACCACAGGATTCCAGGAGGAAGGAAACCTGTTAGTGTGCAGAGGGAGTTGGGAAGAGAACTAGGACTCATACCGGTTTTCCAAAGCCAGGAGCTTATTCTCTGACCTAGAAGAGCGCAAAAACAATGTGCCAGAGGTAGAGGACTTTCTGGAACCACAGGGCCACAGGGGTACAGGACCGGGGAACGCAGGCAGGCTTGACCAGAAGCCTAGCCCAGCAATAGCCCAAGGGGGTGGAGGGTAATACTGCACCACTGGAGACCACAGGTGTGGAAGCACGCGCTTCACCTTCTCACTTCTTAGGCCACCTCGTACTCCACAGAGAAGTGGGTAACAGCCTAGGCTGTAGTGCTAAAGCCCCTGGGTTCGAATCCTGGCTCCGCTTTCATGTGCCATGGGCTGAGCTGTTTAACCCCTGCCACTTGGTTCCTAGGTTTTAATGAGAAATAATGGAATTAATTGATCCAAATAATGTTTAGAACAGTGCCTGGCACATAGTAAGCACCCACTGCACTTGTTATTCGATCCTTGCTTTTATATTTTCAGGCAGCACAACCCGCAGGTACTGTGGCTCTGAGTGACACTTCCTAGGACACGCTTGTGGATCCGTACAAAGACTAAAGATACAGCAGGTAGGATGAAGCTGGGAATTTTAGCTGGGTCCAAACGCAGCTGCACCCCCTCAGAGCTGCCTCTCAGATCTTACAACTTCTCCTGTCACCAGAGCAGTATTGTTTTCTGCTTACTTTGGAAAGAAAGCACAGAACAGGATAACTGCCCTGTGGAAAGCACTTAAAGAAAGTTGTGACTTACGAGAAAGCCATGTCGGTGGTTTTAAAAATAACTTACTCAAAATTCATCCACCTAGCATGAGCCAGAAGAAGAACTTGGAATCAAGTTGTTCAACTGCAAAGTTTTGCTCTTCCCATCCTCCACCAAACTTTGAGGGAAGATATATATATATTTTTTTTCAGCTTTAATTGAGTTTATTGGTACATTTTAGGGATACAGTACAGTTACATTCATTGTTGGGATCATGTACCTCTACATGGTAAGTCTTGATTCTCATTTTTTCCCCTTACCTCTGCCCTCCCTTCACCCCCTCCTCCCCTCCCCATCTACAAACACTTTATTTTCATCTTTTCATTCTCTCACATTTTTTTCTTTTCCCTTTTTACTCTTCCCCTACCCATCCCACCTTCCCTACACTTTTA